GTTATTCTGTTTCTCTTTCTTTTATCACTTCTCTTTCCTCTTCTTTTTCCCCATTATAAAATCCTACATACATGTATGCCATTTAACAAATTATAAGAGGACACAATTGAGAGATCCCTGCCCAAAGGGAATTACAATCTAGCAAATAACATAAGGGAAATAGACATGTTGGTTACATGAATGTTGGTCACATGTATGAGCTTGCCTTACAACTGGGACTAATTCATTGTGCTACATTCTTAATAAAAATAGTGGAGTTTGAAGAGGGGTTTTGAGTAAGAAATGTTGCACAACGAGGGGGGTAGGGAACTTCCCTAATAGTGTAAAGTGAGATGATGGAATGGCAGATGTATTTTGCCTGAATCTAGAATTTTATATACTCTTGCAAAGTTTCTCTTTATATATCCGGAGGATAACCTAAAAAGATACCTTCAGCTTCCTATTGCTCTTGGGACTTTGCACAAATACTTTCCATATTGGTCTGCTGTAACAGGAGGTTCCCAGGATTGGTTCTCACAACAAGGATTCGTATTGTTACCACGAGGTCTAGCCCAGGGGTAGGCAACCTTTCCCCTTTAAGAGCCAAGGGACTTCAGCTCCCAGAATCCCAGGAGCTATTGGCCAACATAGGACTATTGGCCAACATGGCTGAGGCTTCTGGGAGCTGAAGTCCCTCGGCCCTTAAAGGGGAAAGGTTGCCTACCCCTAGCCTAGCCCTTTGTACCCCTGCTCTGTGTCAATATCAGATTGATATTGAAAGGGATGTTATTAGGCATGTAGCCAAAAGGGCACCCTCAATGCAGGAAACTAGCCTTGCCATATAAAGTCATCCATGACCATATTATGGTCATGATCTTAGAGGCTCAGCATGGGAGAAGCTCAAAAGCATGTAGCCATAATTCCTTCACTGGAAGGAGTGATGGAGGATGTGCTTACGAATGAACAGAGACCCAGGTACATTTCTGAGAGAAGCTCCATTGTCCAGATACATTTGCACTGATTGTCTGGCCATTTACAAGTTCTTTTCTCATTCTTCTCCCCTGGAAATTTAATTTTAATCTCAAAATCTGGTCTGGGATACATTTTGCCCTATAAATATGCCTGCCAAGGCTCCTCCAATTCAGTCTCAAGATTCAGAGAGACACTCCGTCAAAATCTTGCTTGACTCCTCAGCATTGCCGGCAGCTGCTGAGCCACCTTCATCTCAAAGAATCCCCAATTGCAGCCTCCGCTTCTGGAACCAGCAGTATTACCCCCTGCAATCCCTCAAGTTTCGCTCTGCTACCACATTTTATATCATTAGTTCTTGAATGTGTGTGTGTGAGCATACTTTTGCATGAATGGTGATCTCCTGTTGTCTATAAATAAAACTACATTTGAACCTTGCATTCTGGAATTTTGTTTCTCAGAACTGGTATACACAGGCTTGATCCCTGCTTTAGTTGCCCAAGCCCTCTCAACAGCTTTCATTGCATTAATAAAACTCTCCTATTAAGCATTGATTGCGGATACTCTTTTGGGACCCTGGCATTTTGGATAACAATTATCTACAATAAATGCCATGATAGCCCCATCATCTTTTCTTTCCTCTAACCTTAAGCCCATTCCACAAAAGCTAGCTTATTACGATGCACAAGTTCAATCTGGAGAAAGTTCAACGTGCCCAAAAATCTAATAAACTTGCTGTATGGATTTTGCATATTTAAAAATAATATTTTATTAAATATTTTTAAATGTTAACATGCAGAGGGAATAATTCAACATTTGCCAAAATATGATTATGTGACTTTTGGCTGCATAAATGCTTTATTTGGCCAATACTTAATAAAATAATTACAGTTGTAGAAAAATATATTACAACATTACCTTCCTTCTGTTACAGTGATAAGCTCCATCACATTTGGCATGAAATATATCCATGAAAGTTTTGGAAATTACTGGCAAATTCAAATTTGTAAATTAGCTGTGATTATTTTGTTTCACATATAAAATCAGCATGTGGTAATTAATTGGTACCATAGCTTCCTGCCCAGGAGCTAACTGAAATATTGGTTCTAATGGAAATTTTAGTTCACTACAGGGGGAAAAAAAAGTCTGCTTACTTTTCTCTGGACCGTGCTCAATTGATGCACACTAGAGCTCAATATTCCTTAAGTGCTCCATCAGAATTTCCCTAATGCCTACTCTATATAGGTAAATTAATATTGATAGC